TCAGATATCTGCTGGGGGTTTAGACCACTGTTATGTTAAGGGAAGCGGCAGGCTGAAGTTCATCGGATTCCTAGAGGGCGTGTTGAAGCACTGCAGTCTTCGATGGGGAGATAGCTGGTTTCCGATCAAATCTCAAGGGGTCCGTTTCAGATCTTTCTAAAAATAGGACATTTAGTGTACAGGAGATGTATGTTGCCACGCGTAAGTCTTTGTTCTGTACATTCACACATGCTTGAAAATCTAGGGTTTTTACAGAAGGTGACGTTATGAAAGCTGTAGTGGGTACAGTTTTTCCTACTTAGGAACATAGTTATTCAGGAGCATAACAGTCCTACCACAGCTCTTCAAGTGCCCAGTCAAGAGCTCTTCCCGGAGGGCAGAGGGTTGCGTCAGCCTCCTTGCAGAAAGCATCCTCTGCTTTAATGCAGAAGCTCTGTTTTACATTGGGTAGGTTGACACTCTGTGCTCCATTAACAGTATTGGGTTTAATCTGTTAGGAATTTCAGAAAAGTACTTCCTATAAATCTGCTTTGGAATTAATTTCTCTGTCTTATATATTTACTGTATAAAATTATGCCGAGATTACGATGGCAAGTAAACATTCTGTGGGAAATTATTTTAGGTGATTCTTGTATATTTTTTAAAAAGGCAACTTGTCTATATATTTTAGGTACCCTAATGCATCGCCTACCCCAAAATACTGATTTGTCTTGAAATTCAGTATATGGTATTACAGCATCAGTCCTTATTGATAACCTTTAATCGTTTCTTTTTTTTTTTTTTTCTTTCTTCCTAATATATAGAGTGCTGTTCCAGACCCAATACAGACAAAATGTCCAGCAGGGGTGGAAAGAAGAAGTCAACCAAGACTTCCCGCTCCGCAAAGGCTGGGGTCATATTCCCTGTTGGAAGAATGCTACGTTACATTAAGAAAGGCCATCCGAAGTACAGAATTGGTGTTGGTGCTCCGGTGTACATGGCTGCTGTACTGGAATATCTGACTGGTAGGTTTTACTGAACAACGTGAAATAGCAGTGGTGAAAATAATAACACAAACTGAATTTGCCCAGAAAAAAAGCGAAAAAGATCCTCTGATGTATAGATGACTAAGAAAGTTGTAGCTGAAGTAAGTGCTATGCTGTTCACACATCTAAGCCAAAATCAAGGTCCCTCCACCCTTGCCTCTCAGTTTTTCTGGCTTTTGTGCACTCCAGCACTGGATTTGCTTTGACCTGTTCTTCCGCACAGGCAGTCAGGATTCCTGCTACCATCGATGCGTATGGGTCGGGCCTTCAGTGTTGCAGTCCTGCCTGCTCCGATTTTGTGCCTGATGGCTTTGTTTGGGTTCTAATTGTCCGTTAAGCATATACATTCCTTTTAAATAGAGAGCTTCTCAGTGTTTACACAGGGCTGAGATTGCTTACAGCATTGTCTAAACATTTTTGTTCAATTTACAGATTATTTTTGAGACTACATATGCTGTTTGCAATTTGTTTGGTTGAGTCTGTGTACAAATGCACACTCTGTTCATCTGCCCCGGATCAACATAGCTTATTTGCTTACATTTGTAGTCCTCTCTCTGTTCCTATCATCACATCAGAATGAGAACGCCTTAATTATCTCATCCTCACAGTACCTTCTTGGGAGGACAAAAGTATTATTTTTCCTCTGTTTAGAAAGAAGCTTCAAAGGAATAAAATGCTTTGCTCAAAGACATACACAACTAGACATGCTAGTAAAGATCTTTACATAGCAGTTCTCCTCTCAAACGAGACTTAAAACATTGCAAGTTCACCCCACAGACAACGTTACAAAAGTAGTCTTCTAATGGATAATTAACCCCAACTGTAATAGCATCCACAAATGGGCTTTTCGCAATATTGGCTTGCTTAAAATAAGGTAATTTTTTTTTAAAAAAGGGTAAGAAGAAACTACAAATATTCAGTCACATTCGCATGGCCGGATTGACTTAGAAGCATACACCTGTGGGCTAGGGATCTAGCAAAAAGCAGAACGGCTAGATGGATTAGTGTTTGGAGACAGATTCTATTAGCATGACGAAGGAAAAGCTTGAATTGGATCTCATTTCTCATAGCACTGTTTCTTTTTACTGTGCATCTGCTTATGTCAGTGTTCTGGCTGCAGCAGATACCAGTGTTTCAGGGGACAGAGGTCTTTAAGCTGTAATGAAGTGCATCTCTTCCTCGGAGACTCAGTGCATCCTTATAGCTTAAAGCTTGCACTGAGTCTCCGAGGAGGCGATGCACTTCATTCCTCCTTTGACTTAAGCACAAAGTAGCAAAGCATGTGGTTTAACTTTGGGAGTATTTAAAACCAAAGTGACCTGGCTCTTAAGATGCACAATTTTGAATACACCTCATAGTGGATATTGACACTGAAGAACAGAAATAGGCTGATTTTTTTTTCTGTAAAGTTTCTTCCTCCCTTAAAGATGAAGATTGGTAACATTAAAAATAATTAGTGGAGTGCTTTTTTTCTGTAAGGTATTCATACTACATTATTGAATTTTCTCTGCCATCGAATATACTTTTTTTTTCCCACTTGTTCGTGTTCACAGTTTTCTTTATTTGGGCCTTTTCTTTAAAAGAATGCTTTTAAACTTCATAGACGGCCTTAAAAAATTAACATTTCCTTCAGCTAGGTTCCTGCTTACAGCAATAACAACTCAAATAAAATGCTTCTTAGGGTGAAGGGTGCTTTGAATGTTGCCCTTTTCAAGAAAGAGAACAATACAGGTGAGCTTAAGGCACTGCTAATGAGCAGCACATGTTATTGGTTAACTGTTTGATTTAGTGTTTACTGAGGCAGTGATGGTTTAGGCAGCTAAGAATAGGCTGGGGAAATAAAGGTGTTTCTTTAACGGCTGTGCATCCTGGGAAACTGTCTGAGGAGATTTAACAACAAAAAAAGCCAAAAAAAAAAGTTGCACACATGCTTTCTTTAGGAAAAAGAAAAAAAGGGAGGGGGGGGAAGGAGAGCTAGGGGGAAAAGTGCCTTCTTTTTTTCTCCCTTTAAATATTTTTAAGCTTTTTTTTTCCCCCCCCTCTTCTGAAGGCTGGGTAGATAGATAGTCATAGTATCCTGCATCTCAGGGGTTTCTTTCATTCTTATATATAGATGCATCTCAAAAGCACAGATACTCTTTTCTTTCCTTACTGAGTTAGCAATAGTTTTATGACTGTTTCACTCTGGTGGTATTTTTATTTCCCTTTCTCTAAGTTTCTTACATGCTATATAGTGTAATTTTTCAGCCTTTAATGCTCAGCATGTTTTCTGAACTTCAGGTCATTCATCTTTTCAGTGTAATTCAGAAACAATCCCTTGAAACGGGATGCTTGGAAATTTTTGGGTTGTGTTCTTTTTACCTCATGGCAGTTATTACTTCACAAACCCATAGCAATCCTGACTTCTCTCCAGGAGAGTTTTTAAAGATGCTCATGTCAGCACATGAGCTGAGATTAAATCAAAGCATTTCAAAATAAAAGCAGGAACGTGACATAATAGGAAGGAGACCACGTGAAGTGGCATGCTAATAAATTGGCTAAATCAAAAAAGCAGTCTGTGCATCCAGAAAGGAGAGGAAAAAGGTAAAATATCAAAAGCAGTTGTAGGAAAGAACTTCAGAAAAGACTAAGAGGGGAAATGACAGAGACGTGACCTAATAGAAAGGAACCTTACAAGGTCTGAAAACTAGTTCATGTGTGTGCAGAATATGGCACTGACTTTAATCCTTTCAAAGATGAGGTTCTTTGCTAAAGGTGAACTCTGTAAATCTGAAATTAGCCCACAATGTGCTCAGATCTGGGATTTTGGTTTGGTTCAATTTGAGATTTGAACTTCCATAATGCTTCCAGCTGTTCAGACTTGGAGTTCTCTTCTGGGTCAATCTGTAGCTATGACTTTATCCACCTTGTACTTTGAAGGTAACTTACTGTTACCATGTACGTACAGCTACTCATCAGTAAAAATACATCTTCTATAATTTCTTGTGGTGTAGGAGCCTATTTGTAATTTAAGCCCTTTTTCAGTCTGTGCCTGACAAAGTGCTTTTTCAAACTACATGTGTATTGTTCTCGTACTTCTGTATTAGCGTGTTTATACGCGGTACGTGCACTGGTTTAGCACACAGGAATTAGTCTGGCTGCTTCAGTTGCTGTGAACTAAAAACTCTGCCTCTTTGCTGTGCTGCTTTTCAGTCTTGGCTTCTGACAACTTCTACAGGGGCTGGCTGGAGTACATCTTCCCTGTGTTGTCTGTTATAGTACCTTTAAAAATAATAATAATAAAACGACTATATTACTAGATGTACAATTTGTCTTCTGGTCTTCAGCTAATGAAGTGTTTTTCCTTATCTTACATGTCAATATACTTGACATATAAACGGGCTGCACAGCGCGTATGCTCCTGCTCTTAGTTACTCACTAAAGGTTCTTGTTATCTACAAGTAATATTACAGAACAATTCTCTCATCAGCACGCCCCGTGTATGCACTTTGGTTTCTTAAGTGTATGACCTGCTTATTCTTCCCTGATTTTTTTCTAAGGAAATCAAGTGTAATGTCCACTGTAAATAGGATGCAAGTGTGTGTTTGTGGGTGAATGTGCAGAAAGTACCTTTGAGTTTTACCAATACTGAAGCAAGCGGATATGCTTCCTTTCGTTACTCAGGAGCTACAATGCGTGGGTTTTCTTTCTTTCTTTGCAGTAGCAGTTTATGCAGTGCTGCCTGTCTTGCAGGGAATAGACAGAATATTTGATTAATTTCTGCTTATGCTGCAGGTCTGATTTAATTTTAAGCATTATCAACAGCTTTAAGCTAGCAAGAAGTTCAGTGTTAGTAATTCCTTTTGTCTTCTTTCCTTATCGTGGCACTTGTTTTACAATGGTTCGTTGCCTATTTGTCTTCCCTAACTTCAGAAAATTGCAATCCACCCTTTATTTTCTCTGCAAAGTAATGCATCCGTATCAGTTTATGTCAAAAAAAATAAAATAAAAAAAATTCTAGGTCAATCAAGAGGATGGTCATAGACTTAATTTGGGGCATTGCAGCCGCTCAGGTGAAGTTGTGTGATTTGTATTTGTCAGAACTGGCAAGAACTGGTCCAGCCATACACATAATCAGACGTGGTCCCTTCAGATGTATAGCTTGCAGAAGTTACAATATAATCCAAACTTTCTTACTAACTTTAAAAGATACTCCTTTTGCCCTTAAAACATGGAAACCTCTTGAGCATATTTAAAGGCAGCAAGAACCAGGCCTGCAAGTGATTTCTGCTCCCCCTGCCCCCCATCGTCTTCTCTACACTGTAAATAATTTTTCAATTGCTGAAATGTCATAGCAAATGAGGAGAAGGAGAAGTTTATAAAACAGCAGGAGAACAGGAATACAGAAGAAATGAGGCTTTGATTTATATTTGTTCTGTACATACTGAAGTAAGGTAGGAGAAAATGTTAAATGTCTGTTTTCTCCATTAGATTTTTTTTCTCGACTGCATTTTTATTGCCCATTGTGTACTGTTGATCATGTATTTTGTTAAAATGTAAAAAAAGCACCTTTTGAATTCCACGGTTAGAATTGCATCTGAGGCATTCTGGTGCTTACCTGAGTTTTTGTTTTCAGGCTTTGTGATGTCACCAGAATCCCTTAATGGAGGTTCACGTGCTGGAGCTCAGCTCGTTGCATTTTCATCTTGATTAATTTTCGATGTGGAAAACTTTCTTAAGCCAGCTGCTGATTGGCTGCAAAATGAAAGTCCTTCCTGAATGCAGTAAGTTTAACTGCTCACTTCAGATGCTCACTTTCCGATGTGCAAGCTGATCGACTTGAACTGCTGTTCACCTCTTGTGTTCTGCTTGCTGCTGAAAATTTTTACAGGGTCGCAGAGGAAAACAATGATTTGCCCTGTTTGTCAAAGCAGATGTACTGCTGAACTCGTGCGTGGAAGCAGAGGGGAGCTCAGAGGTCCACAGTAAAATAGCATTAA